CCTCCCCTCACAAAGGGAAATACATGCAGACCCCTCCAAGAGCAAAGCCAAATCCTCCCCATCTGGGACTGGCTGGAGAGATAAAGGTGGAGGGGGCTCTTCAGGGTCCTCTCAGAAGTCCAGCCATGGCAGTTGCAGACTGGCTTCCAGGACTTGTGGGTAGGGGCCTGTCCCCTAACCCTTTCGATGTGACAGTTCTTCCTGCTGTCTGCCTTGAATCCCTGTATTATAGGTACATCCCATTGCCTCTTCTCCTGGACTTCAGCAGTGCCAGGTGCAGCTTTTTCTAAAGATCCATCTGGCAAGTCACTGGCCTGTCCTAACCTGTTTCCTCACCTTTGGAATCTACAAGTTCATGGACCATCACAGCCTGGTCTAAAAGAAGCCTCTAGCTGGGCACGGTGGCTCACGCCTATAATCCCAGCACTTTGGGAGGCCGAGGTGGACGGATCACAAGGTCAGGAGATCGAGGCCATCCTGTCTAATACAGTGAAACCCCATCTCTACTAAAAAAAAAAACATTAGCTGAGCATTAGCTGGGCATGGTGGCATGCTCCTGCAATTCCAGCTACTCAGGAGGCTGAGGCAGAATCGCTTGAACCCGAGAGATGGAGGTTGCAGTGACCCAGGATGTCGCCACTGCACTCCAGCCTGGGCTACAGAGCTAGACTCTGTCTCAAAAGAAAAAAAAAGAAGCCCTCTAAACCCCATGTGTATTTCCTTCTGTGCCAGGCAAGGCTCTGGGGTGCAGGTGCCATTGGGTTTGACAAGAGTTTGTTCTGTGCATTCCTCTCCAGGGGACATCCGGAACCTGCTCGTCTGGATCACGAAGAATTTGCTAAAAGAGCGGCCAGAGTTGTTCATCCAGGGAGACAGCGTGTGAGTCCCACTCCTTCCTTCCCTGAAGAGGGCGGAGGGAGGGACGGATATCTGAGCCCCCTCTCTCGGGTTCAGTCCCAGCCTTCTCTGAGTCCGGTTCTCCCTTTCCTCCTCTCTGACTCCTCGGACAAAAGAGCTTCGGTCCAGCTCTGTCTGAGATCTATTTTCAGTTTTCTTGTTACTAAAACTGGACTCTTGAGGATTTGTTAAAATCCCAGATGAAGGGAGCCTGGTGAATTTCTCAGAAAACTTGGATTCTGCCCTCTTGTTGCCACAGACTTGCTGTGGGACCTTAGGCAAGTGACTTCGCTACTCTGGACCTCAGTTACTCTCTACACAGAAAGTGCTGAGGAAAATGTACCTAGTGTGACTGAAGAACTAAATACCTCTGTTTTATTTCATTGTAATTAAATAGCCATATGTGGCTGGTAGATTACCATACGGTGCAGCACAGGTCTACAGTTCCAAGGAGTCATTGACGCTGTGCCCGCACATACCCTGCACGTGCACACATACTCACTGGGGACACCCGAGAGCAGTCTGCTTGGAAAGGACCGGGTTCCAGTTGCTAAGACATTACAGGGCCAGCCCCCCATGTGAAAGGTGACCAGTGTAGCTGTGAGGCTCACTTACTTGCCTCAAGCATAGGTCACTGTCAGGCCCGAAGGGATCAGGCCTAGGGGATCAGCCCTGCTTCAGGTCATGGTCCAGCGGTCCTGGAGGCCACGTCCAAGGCCAGCAGCATTTCTTGGGCCATTGCCAGTGGGAGCCAGGCTAAGCTGCCTGACCACCTGCTGACCTACCCTGCCTTATGCCAGGCAGGGCTGCACTTGACCATTGCCATGTGCCATGGCAACTGATTCGGAATTGGCAAAACAGCCTCCTCTCAAGGATGGGCATGCAGAGGCCTAAAAGAAGCTGAAGTCCTTTCCAGGTCTAACGAGAATGAGGTTAGACCCCTGGAAAAGTGTGGTCCTACTAATGGTTACCATGACAGTGTGGCAAGCACTCTACACACATCGGCTCATTTCGTTTTGTACAGGCCTTGTGGGGCAAACACTCTCCCTTATCCCATTTTCAGATGAGGAACCTGATACTCAAACAGAATGGCCTGCCCACGGTCTGGGTGGTGGTGCTGGCTAGCCATTGCACCCATTTTTCATCTGGCTACAAAGGCCATGCATGACTGTCTGACCTGGTTTCCTTTACACTCAGACCAGCCTCCCCTTCCTGGGAGGTCTTCAGCCAGACCCCAGAAGGCAGGCTCCCCAGCACCCTCTCCTGCAGCTCAGCTCTCAGCCTCTCTTCGTCTGTGCCACTGCCTCCTGCCTCTCCCTCCCTGCTACTCACCACCATCTTTCCCACAGGCGGCCAGGAATTCTGGTGCTGATTAACGATGCCGACTGGGAGCTACTGGTCAGTACCTCAGGGGACATCCTTCCCTGATCCCCTGCCCTTGCTGCTTCAGTGGGAAAGCCTTGGGCCTCTCCTCAGGCTCATAGAGTGGCTGGGTAATCCTCCGCCCCACTCCAGCCCCACACTGAGGCTGCTGGAGTCTCCCACCCCAGACGAGGAAGGGATGGATAGCTGGGGACATGGGAGCACCCGTCCATCCTGAGGATTTGCAGGTTGAGATACAGGATACCATTTTTCTGGTAGAGTCCGTCTCTTCCAGAGCAGCCAGCCCTCACCCCTGTTTTCCCAGCTCCTGGGGCAGAAGTGGGAAGGTGGCCCTGAGAGTCTCGCTCCCCTCTCTCCTGCACCAGGGTGAGCTGGACTATCAGCTTCAGGACCAGGACAGCGTCCTCTTCATCTCCACTCTGCATGGCGGCTGAGGGCCCTTCTCTGGGCCTGGACACCCTTACAGGGGAGAACAAAGCAATCAGACATCCCCTGGGGCCCTGCTTCCAGGTCTCCCTGTCCCCCTTGGCTGCCTTCTTCCCTGCCCTGTCTCCCAAGCTCCCTCCAGGCAGGGAAAAGAGGCCAGGTGCTAAAAATGAGCCTTTCTCAAGCACGTGAGCAGGGGAAGGCAGACAGGCACCACAGCCCAGCACTCCCTTTTCCAGCAGCTGCGGTGGGGGAGGGTGCCCCTCTGGTTTGTCGAGAGTGGAAGGGGGCTCTGTGGGCAGGTGACCTGGCTGCCTTCCGCTCCTTGTACCTCAGCCTAAACATGGCGTGACCGCTGACAAGGAGCTCCAGTCCCAGAGCCAGTGTCTTCACAGGGAAGATAAATGGACCTGAATAGCTGAAGGGAGGCCCCTCCCTACCCAAAGATTGGAGGCGTCTGAGCCTCAGTTTACCTGTCTGGACAGCTGAGGGCTCTGCCTGTCCCCTGCTGATACCATTATAGAACCCCAGCTGGGGTCCCCTATTCGTGCTGAGCGCCCCCCCTGCAGCTGCTCCTCCAGCCACACCCTTCCTTCTGCTCCCCCCACTCCTAGCCCTTGACCCTGGCTGGCCTCCCCCTCTCCACAGGCCACCAGATGGGCTCCTGAGACCCTCCCTAAGCTGCCTACAGCTCATTCTGCTGGAGGTAGAGATGAGGGGAGGGAGTGGGTTAAAACTTGGACTGGCAAGTAGAAGCCTGGGGGGATCTGTGTGCCTCAGTTTCTTCCTCTACAACAACCGAATATTTATAGTGGCCGAAAACTGGGGAGATACTTGATGGCACAAATGTCCGTTTTCTCTTCCTTCCCACGTCCTGCAGGAAGCAGGATGGGGCAGGCAGCACCTGGTAGGCAGGGTGGTTTGCCCCTCCTCCCCTTCCCTTCTGGAAGTCTTGGGGCCTCAGTGCTTGCAACAGCTGGCCTTGGGGAAATAAAAGACTAGGTTGTTTACTAGCCTTGCTTGGAGCTTCATCCTTGGAAACGGGTGGCACCTCATATCCCCCCAGCCATGGTCTTTGATACAACCTCTTCATCCTCAGCCTAGGGCCTCAGAGCTGCCCTTCACCCTTCACCCAGAAGAGGGGTGGGGGTGAACACTCAGATGATCTGAGAGGGGTAGTCTAATAGAGCCATCTGGAGAAGGGGGTGGCAGAGCCAGTCTGTGCTGACCAGTCTGGGTCCCAGGATGCATTCCCACCCGCCTGTCCAAGGCTTTGTCCCACCAGCTGCAGCCAGCAGCCTCAGAACCCAGAATGGGGGTGGCATAGATGAGACTGCTGAGCCCCCCTTTCCATGGTCCTTCCTTCCTATGACCTGAAGAAAAGAGCTTTGTTTGCTGGAGGTAGACCCCAAAAGAGAATTTGGGCACTGACATTAACCTACCAAAAGCATCCCACCCGAAATGTTGCTTTTCATTCGATGTCAATAATTTAAGGTGGAATTTCTCACCCTGTGGAGATGAAAGTGCCAAAAGGCTGTCCCAGCAGTGTTAGGGGACAGGGTGTGCACATCATTCTTTTGGGGATAGATGACCCACTGGCTGGTGGGCTTTTCTCCAGCACTACTCCAGGTCGAGGCCCTCTGGGCTTGTGTGAAGTAGGAGCAGCTATGTTGGGACTATGGGGAGGAGCTGGTCTGGGTGCAAATTAAGGCCAGTGTTGGGGTCTGAGTGCTGTCCAGAAAGGCTATATGACCAACCCTCACTAGGGGCTGAGGTCGGGGTGTCCGTGTTAGGGAACGGACCAAGAGACTTGGAACAGCCCCTCACAGCTGCACTTTTAGGTCAGCCTGTCCGATTCGTGTAACCTGGAGGTCCCTCCCCATCTCCAGCCCTCTGAGCTGTAGAAGTGGCCCATCAGTGCACCTGATTGGAACACCCCAGATTGCAAGTCCTGGAAACTGAGCACTAGGATCCCTTTCCCTGCCTGCAAGGAGTGGAAGGGGTGATAGATGCGGGATATCCCTTCTCCCACCACACCCCAATTAATGCTGAGGAGTAGTGTAGGAGGAGGTGCTGGGAAAACCGGATTTGTTGGCACATGCGGGTGCAAGCACTGTGATTGAAATTGGCCATGGCCAAGGCGCTCCAGACGATTTCAGGTCATTTGTAGCCCCAGGCTGGAAAGGGGTCAAGGGACAGCTGACCTGGACTCAGCCCTGAGCGACTCCCAGCCACCCCTCTCCCAAGCAGCTCCTGATCCCTGCTTTTGAGGAAATAAACGAATAAAACCCCGCTATCTCGGAAGATTTTTCTTTAATGAAAAGGATTCGTTTTTCCAAGTTCTGTTTCCAAAGCCGAGGTGATTGCCCGGCTGGAGCGCATCGTTGGCGACGCTTGGCTGTCGGACCCTGGCAGCGGCTGGAGGAGGCTCAGCCCACCAGTCCGTCCTGAGGGGCTTTCGGGAGGGATTGATTTGTTTGGGATTTGGGGCTTGGTTGAGGATTTGTTTTGTTTAGGTAGGAGTATTGGGGTGATAAGTTAGAACAAATGCGAAACGAGTTAGCGGGCGCATTGCGCCAGCCTCTTCTTTCACCCCCGACTTCCTGCAGCTCCCGCTGAGGGCGGACCACTTTCGGCCCCGCCGCTGCGTGCCGGCTGCGTTCCGGCCGAAATTTGAAAGGAAAAACGACGCGATCGACTGGAGGACCCCGCCGGCCGGTACTGGTCATCCTCCGAGGAGGAAGAGAAGGAAGGAGGACGAGGATGCGGATGGCGGCGCTGGTGGCAGGGACCGGCGTCCCGGTGCGCGCGGGCCGGGGCGGCGATCCTCTAGCTGGGGCCAGCCAGCCGCCGCCCCGAGAGGTCTCGCCCGCGCTGAGCTCCGTCCCTGTGGCCCCCGCCCCTGTTGCGCCCGAAGCTCAGCCACAGATGTCCAGCCACAATTCTCGGTTGGCCGCAGACTCTTACAAGAATTGCGTTTGGACAATCAGTGGCGGAGCCCCTGAGTTCAGGGCCCTGGTCTCCTGCAGGGTTCCGCTTCGCTCCTAAAAAGCGCTAGACCAGGACATCTAGGAGCTGCTCGTCGGACCACCTTGCAGGCGCTCAGCAGCGGTTGCCCATCCCGCGGTAAGGTGAACGAGCAAGCACGCGGATCCCGACCCTGCGCGGGGATCCCCATCGCCCCAGGCGTGGCTCCTTCGATCGCGGCCCGGAGTCCCCGGAGTGGCCCGCGTTGGGTCTCAGCGCCGCCCCAGGTCGGGGGGGAATCTCCTCTGTCAGGCCTGGGGAACCCAGACTCCCCTCTCCCTGCCCCCAGCCTGGGCTCTCCGGAAATCCAGAAGGCAGGAGCCCGAGGCCGGGTCGCGTTTCCGAGCCCCGGGTCCGGGCTGCTGGATTCGTGGGTCCCCCGCCCCCGCCCAGCCCCGCGCACGCACCGGCTCGGGCGCTCTCCGCTTTCCTGTGGCTGAGTCGCGGCCGGGGCGCCGGCGGTGGCTGTGGCGGCGGTGGCCCGGGCGGCGGGGAGTGCTGGAATGCGCCGCCGGGTCACCTGCAGCGCCCGGGGAGCCGGACTGGGAGCCGGCGGGCTGGAGAGGCGCAGGGCTGAACCCGAGCGGGCGCCTCTGGCGGCTCGGGGCCGGGGCGGGCTTTTAGTGGGCCGCTCCAACAATACGGGCCTGGCGCGGAGAAAGGGGCTCGGCTGCAATTGGTACTGGATTTGAATAACGCCACGGGGCCATCAATGGTCATTGTGTCGGCGGGTAATGAATCTCCGCTGTCTCTCGGGCTGGCCAGGCAGCTGCAACCTGCGCTCAGGCAGCTCTTAAAGACATAGCGTGCCCCTCCCCGGGGGCCGCCTCCCCCTCTGCACCGGCCGGACCCCCTCGTCCTCCCACCCCCACTCGGCGCCCTCAACTCCCGATGCCCCGCCTGCTCCCTCGGCCTGACCCCTTTGCCCATCGCCCCCTCCCTTCTCCTGGACCAGGCACCAACATCCCGGCGCTGCTCTCCCGTGGACCTGACTCAGGCCCCGGCCTTAGCTGAGCTCTCCAGGAGCGCTCAAGGCACCCCAGAGTCTTTTACAGCCCACCCCCGGTCTCCCAGATGCGTGGAAACCAAAGGCCTCTGGAGCCCTCCTCTCTAGGCCCCTGCCTAGGGGCTTCCACTGGAGGGTGGTGGGGAACAGTCTAGAAGTCAGAGGGTCATCCCCTGAGAAGACCACGCTGAAGGAGAAAGAGGAAAGGGTGCAGTCCCCATCCCCGGGGCTGAGGCTGCCATCCCTGGAGACCACACCCCACCCGGGAGCTGGAGCCTGCCCCTCCCCCCACCAAGGACCAGAGTTTGATTCCCGGGCTCCATCCGGCTCCTGGGTACCTCGCGCTAGCAGCAGTGGTGGGGGGAGGGGAGCAGGTGGGTGTGAGAGGGGCGTGGAATCTGTGAATGCTTGTCTTATCATTGTCTCTTCCATTGGACAGTCCACCCATCCAGGAAAGCAGGGGCTCTGTCCAAGTTCTAATGCACCCCCAGCCCCACCCCCTGTCTGGTCTGGCAGAGAAGGTTCTCAGTCTACAGGGTAAATACATAGCCAGCTTCTCACCCTTAGAGCTTACGTATCTTTCCCAATGAACCTCACACCCTAAAGGGGGAGTGTGTGGCCATTCTTCCCATACAGCCTGCCTTCCCCCTAAGCACCCAAAATACTCCTGCCTCTGTCCTGGCACACCATGCAGCCTTGCTCTGAAATGCCCTCCTGTCCTCTCAATCTCTGGGTGGCCTTGCCACGTGCCCGGCTGAATTGTGAATATCGGTCTGTCTGAGGCTCCTCCCTAGGAAAGGAAGTGGGTCCTACTGATCTTTGTGCCTTCAGGGCCTAGAACAGTGCCCTCCCTCCAAACAGTCATTAAATATCTGTGGGTGGTTGCACGCATGCCCAGCGACTTTAAAATGAGCCATATAGACTTCTTGGAGTTTCTTATAAAAGTTGAAAGAATGTTGCTTGTGGGGAATAATTCTTGCAGCCCGGGTTTTACAGGGAGGGAGCTCTGCTAACCAGATCCCAACTCCTGGGAATGCTTCATTTGGTAATATTAACAGTAAGGAGTGTATTGTATGCCAAGCACTACGCTCTTTGAAGGTAGTAGCTCACTGATTCCTCACAATAACCCTGGGAAGTAAGTGCTATTATTAGCCCCATTTTACAGATGAAGAAACTGGAGCCCTTCTTCCTTAGACTCCTGGGGCTTCCAGCTGGAGAGTGAGGGGGAGCATTCTGGAGGTCAGAGGTCACCCTCTGGGAAGAACACGCTGAAGGATAAGGGAGGAGGGATGCAGTCCTAATCCCCAATCTCCAGAGACTACACCCTACTAGGGATCTAGAAACCCAGGGCCGTGGAACTTCCTGCACACTAGCTTCCCAGCCTTTATTTAGCAGATACAGGGGGGATGGACATAAATGCACCCTTAAAATGGCAAGACCCAGGAGACACTGTGTCACCTTATATTAATACGTTATAATCCAGTCCCAGCCTGGCATGAACACAACCAAGATGGAGTGGGCAGCAGTAGTTTCTGATTACCAGGTGCCATGGCTCACCCCCGTAATCCCAACACTGTGGGAGGCTGAGGCTGGAGGCCAAGATGGGAGGATTGCTTGAAGCCTAAAATTAAATACCAGCCTGTTTCCGGTGAGGAGACTCATGCCTGTAATCCCAGAACTTTGGGAGGCCGAGGCGAGTGGATCACTTGAGCCCAGAAGATCAAGACCAGCCTGGGCACATGGCAAAACCCCATCCCTCATCACTACCAAAAACACGACACAAAGATTAGCTGTGCATGGTGGTGAGTGCCTGTAATCCCAGCTACTCAGGAGGCTGAGGCTCAAGAATCACTTTAACTGGGGAGGCAGAGGTTGCAGTGAGCTGAGATCCTGCAATTGCACTCCATCCTGGACAACAGGGAGACTTGGTCTCAAAAAAAAAAAAAAAAAATTACCCTGGGCAACAAAGTGAGACCCCCATTTCTACAAAAAGAAAAACATTTATATGGAGTCTCACTCTGTCGCCCAGGCTGGAGGCTGGAGTGCGGTGGCACAATCTCAGCTCACTGCAACCTCTGCTTCCTGGGTTCAAGCGGTTCTCCTGCCTCAGCGTCCGAAGTGTCTGGGATTACAGGTGCCCAACACTACGCTAGGCTAATTTTTGTATTTTTAGTAGAGATGGGATTTCACCATCTTGGCCAGGCTGGTCTTGAACTCCTGACCTCGTGATCCACCTGCCTCGGCCTACCCAAGTGCTGGGATTACAGGCATGAGCCACTGCGCCCGGCCGCCAATTGTTTTTTGAGACGGGCATCTCCCTGTGTTGCCCAGGCTGGTCTCGAACTTCTGGGCTCAAGGGATCTACCCACCTCAGCCTGCAGAGTAGCTGAAATTTGACAGGAATGTGCCACCACGCCCAGCTGAGCTGTTTAAAGCCTGTCAGTACTGGGCAGAGAACAAGCATTTGCCCTCACCGTCACCCTCAGGGAAATGAGGAGCCAAGAAGGCTGCTAACTCCGGTCATTGAACAGATATTGAGGGAATGCCTACTGTGTGCTTGCCACGGACTCGGGAGAGGACAGCTCTCCCCAGAGAAAATGCACAGTGTGCGATGGAGACAGATCCCAGGGGAGGAGGAGTAGGGTGTTAGGTGAAGGCGGGCACTGTGCTCTAAAGCTAGCAAGCGAAGAAGTACTTGGCGAGTCCGGAGAAGGAAGGAGCTTTGGTGTGGTTGGAGTGCAGTGGGGAAGGGGAAGTTCCACATAAAGCTGAGGTCGACCTTGCCAGGCCCTTAGGCTACTGGGAGGATTTGTGATTTTATCCTAAACTCGGTGGGGATCCTGAAAGGTCTGACAAGTTCAGATTTACATTTTTAAAGGTTTCCTGGGACTGAAGTGTGGAGAATAGGGGGAGGAGGGAAGGGGAGACCAGGCAAGTTTGAGGATCAGAGACCCATTAGGCTACCGCTGGTTCCCAGGTGAGGGCCGGTGGTGGCAGAGCAGGCTCTGGAGCTATGTTCTTGACGGTCTGTCTGAGTGATTCTCTGAGAGCAACGCTTAGTGGACCTGATGTGTGCCAGGAAGGTACTGTGTGTGCGCTGGAGGCAGGGGAAGGGGGAAAGGGGACTAGTGTCATTGCCCCCTGGAAGTACCCAGTATCCAGTGGACAAGTGGACCAACAGACACAAATACCCAGCCAACTCTAATGAAAGAGCAGAACCCCAGGAAAGCACAGTAGCTGAAGCGTTAGCAAGGTTCCTGGGATTACAGAAGACAGATTCACTCGCACTGGGAGGCTGTGGGAAAACTTCAGGAAGAGGCAGCATTGCCTTGGGCTTCCAGCGCTAGTGATTCCAGGAGGCTGAATCTTAGCGATGGCCTCTGTGAAATAGGGTCGTTATGCCTGTCCATCACGCCTGTCCTGCCTCCCTAGAAATGGGTGGATGTTGGGAGGATCCAAACACCCTCTGCATGGCACATGGCAAAACCCCATGCAGTTAAGTAAGGTGTCATCATGAGCTTCCACCATTACCACCATACACCCCAAGTGTGCGTGCACGTAGTGAAACCCCGTCTCTACTAAAAATATAAAAATTAGCCAGGCGTAGTGGCGAGCACCTGTAATTCCAGCTACTTGGGAGGCTGAGGCAGGAGAATCGCTTGAACCTGAGAGGTGGAGGTTGCAGTGAGCCGAGATCACACTACTGCACTCCAGCCTGAGCAACAGAGTGAGACCCTATCTC